AGGAAAAGGGCAATGGGGGGCTGCATCTTGTTACATATGCTAATGCTAAGTTAGCAGTTAGCTACAGTTAACTTGAAGTATGACATTAAAATAGAGGTGGTTAAGGTTAGGATTAGGGTCATGGGAAGGCTGCATCTTGTTCCATATGCTAATGCTAAATTAGCGATTAGCTAATGTTAGCTAGGAATGACATTAAAAAAGAGGTAGTTGAGGTTAGGTTAAGGGCAATATAATGAACGTAGCCACCGTGACATCATCCATTGGTTAGTAAACTGCTGTTTTGAAGCCTTGAGTTTGGCATTTTGGCTGTCGCCATTTTGGATTTTTGGACCCAGACATGAAAATATATGAACATTTTTGAACGAGAGGGCGGAGCTGTGGAGGAGTGAGTAGAAAACTATGCACGCCCACCTACCGCAACCTGACTGAACGCACGCTGCACCCAGCTTTGCTGTGCTAACAAAGTAAGCTTCCATAATTCGAGGTAAACTTTAGGGCAATGGGAAGGCTGCATCTTGCTACTTATGCTAATGCTAAATTAGCGATTGGTTAATGTTAGCTTGAAGTATTCCGTTAAAAGACAGGTGGTTAAAGTTAGGATAAGGGTAATAGGAAGGGTCACTATGGCAAGCTGTTTTAACATTTAATCGCTAGACTGGATATTCATTACTGATATCTGCAACATAATTTTGCCTAGTCAAAACTCTTCAAGATATCTGTAATTAGATTTTGACTAGTAAGATTCAAACTATTTTTGCCATTCATGTGTATGGGGTTTGTCATTATAGATAGGCCTATCTCCAATGTAGTTGCGGATATCTACAATTGTTATTTCAGATATCTGCAACTGAATTGTAGATATCTGTAATTCCAGTTTGAGATATCTACAATTTAATTTTGACTAGTCATAATTCAAGTTCAAGATATCTTTAATTATCATCAATTGAAGATATCTACATGGTCCTTTCTAGATATCTTGAATTGAGTTTCAGATAGTCAGAATGACGTTGTAGATATCTTGAATTTGAATTATGACAAGTCAAAATGACGTTGTAGATATCTGCAACTGAATTATGACTAGTCAAAATGACGTTGTAGATATCTGCATCTGAATTATGACTAGTCAAAATGACGTTGTAGATATCTCAAACTGGAATTATAGATAGTCATAATGTAATTGTAGATATCTATAATGACAAACCCCATACACATGAATGGCAAAAATAGTTTGAATCTTACTAGTCAAAACTGAATTACAGATATCTGTAACTGTAGTTTTGACTAGTCAGAATGACGTTAGAGATATCTGTAATTCAGTTTTGACTAGTCAGAATGATGTTATAGATATCTGTAATTCAGTTTTGACTAGTCAGAATGACGTTAGAGATATCTTAAATTAAAATTCATACTAGTCACAATGACATTACTACTAGTCAAAATGACATTATAGATATCTATAATGGTAATTCCGGATAGTCAAACTTAGCGATTAAATGTTAAAACGGCTTGTCATAGGGTCACATCTCGTTACTCATAATGTGAATGACATAAACTGGAATATTGCTACATTTGGTCTCATGTAATCACTACAGTGTAGCATCATAGCAGGATTCAAACAGTTGTTGGTGGATTTGTAGGGCAGCTATACTTCTCAAATTTTTATACACCAATTATATTTCATGAAATACATTTTTATTTGTAATATTACTGTTTATTCTTGTGATTTCTATGTTTAATTTGTGTATTAATTAAATAGTTAATATGTTACAAAGAGAAATGTAGCAGTTTTGCATTGAGTATGAAAACGAAAGGCAGTGCTTTTACTCCCCATTCATTGTGAACACAATTTTTTTTTAAAGCATGCATGCACATGCACACTTCAATCATGTGTTTTATAACATTAACGTCAAAAAGCAAAAGTGTAATGTGCCTTTTCACATAAATACGCCAGAAATGCTCTTTAAGTATATTACGTATAATCAAGATTCTACACTGGAAATGTGCGCAGTTGGATTGGACACCACACCATCAGAGCTCATTGTAGCTAATGTATGTCAACATCAGTGTAATCAACATCTCTGAATTGAACGATTCAGTTTTGAATCGATTTTGCAAAATTGGATTTTCAAAGCAAAAAGGAAATTACCGAGACCTCACCCTAAACCAACCTACATCAACAAAAGGGACAAAAAAGTGTTTCTGAATGGACTTGTACAAGATAAGATTGGCTATACTGTAAATGATAAACTAAAGTGAAGAAAACTGTTGTTATATTTGAATCCAGGTAGAAAGACAACCACCACTCAGGTGCCACTGAGCAAGACACTTAACCCACTTAATGTAGCTGGATATTGTCCAACTGTTAGGTTGCTCCCAATTCCGTACTGTGTGAAAAAGCAGCCTGTTGCTGAGACAATTCTGAGCCAACCTTTCTGGACAAGTATTTGAAGATCTGCATTTCTCAGGAGCTCATAATAATAGTCATAAACTTTATTTATACAGCACTAGAACACATTTTAACAAGGCTACAAAGTGCTTTTTACTTGTTCAAGAGTACTTATTATTTCAGCCTGCTCCTAACATGTAGGTGGCTGTGAGTGCCTTAGGTATGGATCCATGCTGCTATGGTGATGACACTCTAAGTGGGGCTTTGTTATGTTGGGTCAGCTTGTGTCACAGCCTCTGGCACTGGGTCATCAGGTTCAAGAACAAGCATGCTAATAATGAGCGTATAAGAAAAAACACACAGTGCGGTGTCATCCATCTTTGTGTGCACTCTGTGTGGTTCACGGGGCGGCGCAAATGCTTTCACTTGACAGATGGTCATCAACATGTCTCTCTCTGTTTTCATGTTTGAAGTCTTTTCTGTCAGCTGATTCACAAAGGCGAACAGGGAATGTGCACATGTGGGCTGCTGTCATTTCAAAATGAACTTACTGCATGAACATCAGTGTTTAAATGAATGATGTTAAATGCAATCATTTTGATGTTTGTGTTGATTTCTGAGGAGCTCAATTTGGCAACATGGTGTCATCTTTTGAAGGTTTCTTATTTACACTTTTACTTCAGTGTAACAACATTTCTGTCTCTAGCATTGTTAATGTGTCTTTTAGGCATGATTATGAGACAATGGGCACCAGGGCACAGATTTGAAAAAGACCCACCACCTTTCCTACATAGGAGCAAGACTTTGAGGTGGGTTTGCCTCTTTTCTTGTTGTTGTTTTGCATATCTTTTTAGGTATTTTGTGACTCTTTGAGGTCATTTTGTGTGTCTCTACAGTTCCTCTGCATCTCTTTTGTGTTTCTCTGAGGTAATGCAGTGTCTCTTTGTGCTTGTTTTGTCCCTCTTTGTGGTTATTTTGTGTCCCTTTGCATCTCTCTGTGGTCTTTTTGTGTCTCATTGAGGTCATTTTGTGTGTCTTTGTAGTTGGTTCGAGGCTCTTTGTGGTTGGTTTGTCTCTTTGTGGTTGTTTTGTCCCTCTTTGTGGTTATTTTGTGTCTCTTTGCATCTGTCTGTGGTCATTTTGTGTCTCATTGAGATCATTTTGTGTGTCTTTGTGGTTGGTTTATGTCTCTTTGTGGTTGTTTTGTCCCTCTTTGTGGTCTTTTTGTGTCTCATTGAGGTCATTTTGTGTGTCTTTGTGGCTGGTTTGTGTCTTTGGGGAATGTTTGTATCTATTTGCAGTTGGTCTGTGTCTCTCTGTAGTCATTTTGTGTCTCTTTGTTGTTTTCTTCCTTTTTGTAGTTATTTTGTGTCTCTCTGCATCTCTTTGTGGTCTTCTGTTTCTCTGAGGTAATTTTGTGTCTCTTTGTGGTTGGTTTACACCTCTTTGTAGTTATTTTGTGTCTCTTTGCATCTCTTTGGGTGTAATTCTGTCTCTTTGCAGTTCCTTTGCATCTCCTTGTGATCTTTTTGTGCATCTCTGAGATGATTTTGTGTCTCTTTGTGGTTGCTTTGTCCCTCATTGTAGTTATTTTGTGTCTCTTTGCAGCCCCTTTGCATATTTTTATGGTATTTTGGTGTCTCTTGATTGGTTGATTTATGTCTCTTTGTTGCTGTTTTGTCCCTTGTCTGTTGTTGTATCTCTTTGTGGTCATTTTGTGTGCAGGTGAAGACCAGGGGGCTCCCTAACACTTCGGGCTGTTGGACCTGTGTTCGGTAGGTCTGTTCAATAATTCAGCCTTGCTTTCAGCTCTTATTTTATGCAGTTACATTGTTTTTATTTGAACAAGCCGGTGTATATGAGGCCATGTCTGTCAGTTTGATGTTCCTCAGCCTCAGTGGCTGCTTTCTTCAGTTTGCTGACATCCTGATAAAAACAAGGAAACCTATAACTCTCAGCTCCCGTCTTATCTTGTCGATAATAAATCATCTTGGTTAATGTTTTACATAGATTTTAACGACCTGGACCTGGCCTGGATACTTGCATTGCTTGGCTGTTGGTCAAACCCTGTTTTCTGGTTATCTTATGATTAAGAAATTTCATGTAATGCAGCTGCTGTGGTGCAAGGAGCAGATCTCTGGTTGGACCTGACCTCACAGCAGTGGAATGTATTCTTTGTGATAAAAATATAAAAATGGGAAAACAAATCTTGTTTGTGATGGCAAGTGATGAAAATATTGAAATCCCTGTGGTTCCTAATGGCATGGTGGATTTCCATGTTTGGCTTCTTGTAGCAAGGACTGGCAGATTTTGGCAGATTTTGCCAGATAGCAGTCACAGACAGGTTGGTGTGGTGAGAGAGCTGCTTGCCATACATGTCCTCCTCTTCCTGAGTGAAAGTGTCGTTTATTCATGCATTAGCCCCTGAAGACATGACACCAAAATGAGACTGAATGTATAATTTGTGAGGTTCAGGTGTTGTTTTGCTTCCCTGCTTCATTGATGGGACAATTTGTCCGCTGAGCTGCGCTGATTGGTCCTGAGCAGCGGTGATGTCACCGCCTGCTTTGTTGTACCGGCCGGTGCAGCAGCTCGCTCAAAGCTGAGAGCGAGAGAGAAAATCCAGATGGAGTTGGCGCGCGACGGGAGAAGAGCTGTGGCTCGTGCGACCGCCACACACTGGAAAGGCTGCCTTGCACTGCCTTGATGAACTCGACCTGGTCCCGCACACAGCGCAGCAGCCCGTCATGGGGGACGGTGGCGCGTCCTCGCCGGTGAACTTCCAGAATGGCACGGGGAGCGAGGCGTCGGACGCACCGGACTCCGCTACTGCAGCCGCGTCCGAGCAGTGGATGGCGGGGATGAGCCTGGTGATGGGTTTGATCGTCCTGGCTATTGTGTTCGGGAATATCTTGGTCATCGTGGCCATCGCCAAAACGCAGAGGCTGCAGACCATCACCAATGTGTTCATCGTGTCCCTGGCGAGCGCGGACCTCATCATGGGGCTGCTGGTGGTGCCGTTTGGCGCTGCGCTCGAGGTGCGCGGCTCCTGGCTGTATGGCTCCTTTTTCTGCGAGTTTTGGATCTCCGTGGATGTCCTGTGCGTCACAGCCAGCATCGAGACCCTGTGCGTTATCGCCATAGACAGGTACGTGGCCATCACCTCGCCTTTCCGCTACCAAAGCTTGTTAACCAAAGCTCGGGCCAAAACGGCGGTGTGCGTAGTGTGGGCTATCTCCGGGCTGGTCTCCTTCCTCCCCATCCTGATGCACTGGTCCCGAGACAGCGTGGACACAGCCTGCTACGAGGACCCTGAGTGTTGCGACTTTGTCACCAACAGGGCATATGCCATCTCCTCATCCATCATATCTTTTTACATTCCTCTCTTGGTCATGATATTTGTTTACGCCCGCGTGTACAGAGAGGCGAAAATGCAGCTGAGGAAGATCGACAAGTGCGAGGGCAGGTTTCACAACACCTTAACCGGACTCACCTCCAAGTGCAAGAAGAGGCCATCTAAAATCCTGGCGCTCAGGGAGCAAAAGGCGCTCAAGACGCTGGGCATCATCATGGGGACGTTCACCCTGTGCTGGCTGCCCTTCTTTATAGTCAACGTGATGCGGGTGTTTTGCGCAGAGGTGGTGGACAAGGACCTGTTCGTTTTCCTAAACTGGCTGGGCTACGTGAACTCAGCCTTTAACCCCATCATCTACTGCCGGAGTCCGGACTTTAGGAAAGCTTTCAAAAGGCTGCTGTGTTGCCCGAGGCAAGCCGACCGCAGGCTACACATCAGCTCCTGCGATCTGTCCCGGTGCTCCGGAGGATTCGTGTCCGCTCTGGAGCCCGGCACGCTGGGGCTGTGGTCAGATTGCGCCGGGTTGGACAACAGTGACAGCAGCCTGGTGGGGACCAAAAAGCTGTCTCACTCTGAATCACAGCTGTGAAGGAGACACTAAAACTTTTATCATGGTGGATTACAACAGCTTGGAGAAAAAGGATGGTGATAAAAGCGGGAGTTGAGCTTCTTTTTGGAGGGGAAAGGTATGCGCAACAGTCGCACCTTGGATAGATCCGATTTTATATCTGCATCAGAAGTCAAACATCACCAGAAATGTATCTGAAAGCCATACTTTTACAAACGCATCAGGACCAATGCTCCTTAGGAGATAAGCAAACCTCTCCAGGACAGTTCAGTGTATAAGAGATGATCCAATTTGCTGAAAAAAAATGACCCTGACAAATTTATTCAAGTGGATCTGATCAATCATAATGGGTGCTGCGCTTATATTCAATGAATTGACGCTCCTTTTACAGGGCGCGCGCTCCTGTTTGTTGTTTTTGTTTATTTTTATTTTATTAGATCAGCAGTTCTGCGCTATGCTGAGGATGATAATCTAATCAGGGGGAGTGGATATCCTTTACCTTAACCCCAAGTTCGCTATGGGTCACAATCCATTCTTAAAATGACCGCTCAGGCGCACTGTAATGAACTGGTTGTTATTTAAAAAAGCATTGGACATGAGCGATGTACTGTATCCATGTCGTGCCCACAATGTGTTTTTACCTCACAGCTATCGGTAAGTGCAATTTGTACGACAGGTATTTGTTTATATTAAACATTGATGTAAGATAATGTATTTATTCCGCGCCGTCTTTTACAACTGAAGCAAGTGAATGTGGGGCGGATTCCCACGCCCTCTGTACAGTATACTGTTGTATAATGCGGTGTTTAGTACTGAAGTGAGGAATTTGAGCCTCTCTCTTTGTCTTTTTCTCATTTAAGCTTTACATGCTGTTGTGAGGTGGTGTGTTGACTCCTGTGAAATAAAAGGAAGTTTCATTGTTAATTACTGTTTGGGCTTTATTTGGAATTTCGTGATGTTTTTGAAGTTTGAGCTCGCACAGAAACCCACATCAACCTGCAGTAATCATTTCTTTCATCCTGTTTACTTTCTTTCATTCACAAATAATTTACAGGGATGAAAATAAATGTGTGTAAATGTCAACAACAGGACATCTAGAGGCAGGGGCGTGTCTAGGATTTGAGGACACTGGGGGCTCAGCTTGAATTTAAGGGGGCCCGGGGGGATCTTTAATGCACTTTGGCACATTATATTGGGCTGAATTTGGGGTTAATTGTAACAGGAAGAGGGTATAGCTGCAACACTTGCTGGAAAAGTCTGTTTTACACAATTAATTCAATACAATTCTGTCTGTATACTACAAGTCTCCATCTACATCGGGGGAAGGATAGGCAATGGTCGGACCGAGAGTTTTTGAATTTATGAATATTGACAAGACTGTGAAACCATGTCAATAAGATACCTGACAAATTAAAAATACAAACTATTTCATTTAACTGAGGACATGAGTTCAAAATGAGCATCAGTTTAAAGTGCAAAAACAAAGAAAATGCGCCCTGTTGGGTCGAAATTTTATCAAGCCTCACTAACACTTGCTGGGAGTTGGTTACATATTTCAAAATGGCGCTAAGTTTTAGGCAACAAGACAGTTGTTAAGATGATATATGGTTAGATTTGGTGACTTACATAGACAGCTCAGTGATCAAAAAACAAGTATGACAAAGGAACTTATGTCGGCTGAAAACACTTTGTTGCTGAACTCTGCTGAAACACGTCCTGTTGAATTTCGCGCGTCACTGTTTGGCGAGACGCATGAAAAGGATCCTGTGTAACCACATAAAAAGTCCATGTTACAATTTACAGCTAAGCTTACCATTTAAGATTTTTTTGATCACTGAGTGCCATTTTAGGAAGCCAGCATGTAATTTTTATTTTATGACATATTATACAAGGACATTTTTTATTACTTTTCTTATGACATACATGACTATGAATTTTTTAACGACATTTTTCAGACTTTTATGAGGTTTTTACGGTACTCTAACACTTGCCTAAAACTATCATGTCAGTGGTATACCTAACAGTCATATTACATTCCAGTTTCCCACTTTTTAAAGTAATAAAATAGAGCGACAGTAAAGTGTTTGACATTTATTGTACATATCTACAGCAGCTAAGCAACGACTTCTGCTGGGGTACGGCAACACCACATGGACAAACCACACGCAGAATTGCAGTAAATCATAATACTAGAGCTAGTGGTAATAATAATGGCAATTTGTTAACTGTATTTATGATTATGACTACATTTGCTAGTGATTATTTTGCACGTTTTTTGTTTTTTTTTTAGTTTTTATCATTTTAAGCCTCAGTATATATTAGCTATAATTACAACCTGGTGTTAAAGCCTTTGTGCTGGTTGAGGCTGCTGAGAGCAGCTGAACCTGATTAGCATCTTTGGAGAGATAAGCCATGAAAATCAGATTTTTAAACAATGGGTTTTATGCACATTCATGCAGAGTGGATTAATATGGTTTCCCATCAGTTATTTAAAAGTTCAACTAACTTTATTCTCAGTTGAACCCTGATCAAGGTTCATTCATACAGCACATGTGAACACGTGCGTTAGTGTACAGTTCAAATGCTGAAACAACTGAATTATGTTCGGATTGTGGTAATGATGAATCAATCATGAATCAATTTCAGAAAAAACAGTATTTCTATTGATTACATTTTTAAATAATTGTGGCTTTTTCACATTCAAATTTAACTAGAGGAGTGAATTTGTTCAATGTAAGTACTTGTAGGTGCATTTTACCCCAGTTTAATATGTTGGACATCATAAAATACAAAGAATTGTGTGATTTCTAACATCTCCAACCAATCCACTATTTTAAAACTTGAAGGATCTACTCCAGAGATCCAGTATTGCACATCCATAAACTTGGGGGATCCATATGAGACAGATTGTGCAACATAGGCCAAAATACCCTGACTTCTAATATCCGATAAGGATGCAAAAACTAAAGACCAAGATCCACAAGAAGTCTCCACTTCCTGCTACTTATGGATGTATTTTTAGATCTGGATTTGGGACTCCAGGATGGCGCCTTTTCATTCCAATTGCTCACTTGGCGCACACACTAATTAAGTTTCTTGCTTCCACATTTACTTCAGCAATATGTGGCCCACTGAGTATGTGCAGTAGTGTTTCTTACACTCCGCTCACGAGTTCAGCCCATAGACTTTACCTTGTGCTGACGTGACAGATTTTTAAATCACTTTTCTTGGCTGGCTTAAAAATTCACGAAAAGAGTTATAATTGACCTTGTTTGCAGTTCGAGGTGTCCAGTCAACAGTTTTACCAACCTGGTCTCACTCCAAGGTCGTCGAAAACTGGCGTGTGTTCAGTGACTTCCGGCGTCAGACACTGACGACAAAAGCTAGATACGTGACCAGTCATTGGCATTGTTTACAGCACTCAGCAGCATCATGGGGAAATGTGCTGGGACATCAACAAAAGTCAAGTGGTGGAAGTCCAAATAGGGCAAAGGGGAAGGGGTGGTAGATGGGTACACCTGCCCAAGTTTGGAGGATGGCATATGACTTGCAGCTTGTACTATCATACCTCATCTTCCCGTTTTAGCAACAACCTTCTATCTTTAACTTTGAGCACAAAATTAAGTTATTTGTCAAAAAATATTTGGCAGACAGCGTGGCCAAATAACAGTCATTCATTCATTTTGCGTATCCTAATCGGGGTCGCGGGGTTGATGGAGCCTATTCAAGCTGACATTGGGCGAGAGGCAGGGTATCACAGGGCTGACACATAGAGACAGACAACCATTCACACTCACATTCACACCTATGGACAATTTAGAGTCACCAATTAACCTGCATGTCCTTTGACTGTGGGAGGAAGCTGGAGTACCTGGAGAAAACCCACGCTGACACGGGGAGAACATGCAAATTCAACGCAATGAGGCTCATACACCACCCATGGACTATTCCAGACAGCAGTCAATATCTTCAACCCTTGGCACCCCACTCCAGGTTCGAACCAGGAACTGTCTTGCTGTGAGGCAACAATGCTAACCACTGCACCACCGTGCTGGCCACTGTTACAACATGACTCAGAAAAGCAAAAATATAAAATAAAAAATGCCAAAATATACTGGAGGGGGGCTTTAAGAATGGATGATGTCATAGTGATGTCATCGGGGGGGTTGTCAGACAAATTTCCCTCCATAACCACAAAAAAAGTACAGTAGATTTCACTTAGATTTCACATAACAATCAAATGAATGTATCTTCTTGTTTATAATTAGGCCAAATGTTGTTTGTTTTGTTTTATTTCCAGCTCTCAGCTGCGTACAGTCTCATGCAGGAGCCTCTTGAGTATGCTGTTTGTTTACATTTTCCACAGGCCTCTCTCTGAAAGCCTCAAGAAGATGTTTTAGTCAACATCATGGCAGCTGGTGTTATGAAGTGACTCTGAGAGGAGAGGTTTCCACTTTTTTCAGGGGAATATTAATTAGCCCCTAAGCTGGACGTCTTTAAAACACATTAGGATGATGTGTTCTGCTAATGGTGCTCTCCCAGAAGGGCCGAGTCACACATTTCAATTAGACCAGAAAAACTGAATGGAACTGAGCTCAGCTGTTTTGGCTAATGAACATTGTTTAGATATGATTGGCTGGAGTAATGTGTGTGAATGAGACTCAGCTTTTGGAATCAAAAAATTGACAAATAACAACAGCAGTGCAGCCAGAATCACTGATGGCCTTCTGGCAAAGGCCCACTTCATTATTAAACATTGTTTGTTTGGCAGGAAGTTTGTGTTTGGGCAGATTAGCCGTGGGCTCGCAGATGGAGGAGCTAATCAGCAGCTTCAAGAGTAATTGTTCCAAATTGCGTGTGTATCAGTGGACTTTTGGCCGGTCCGAGTCAGATTAACTGATATCACTGCGACCTCTGCGATAAAGGAGGTCACTGCTGATAAACACAGAGTTTACATTCAGAATTATGACTCAGTGATTCATCTGATGTGTATCACTGGAGCATTTGGTAGTCATTCCTTTAAAGGGACAGTTCACCCTAAAATCAAAAACACATAATTTCCTTCTTTCCTCTAGTGCTATTTATCAGTCGAGATTGTTTTGGTGTGAGTTGCAGAGACGTAGTTTCCTGGGTCCAGACTTTGGAGTCTACCCACTCCACCAACCTGACTGATTCATCTGGCACTGTGACATGAAACAGCTCTTTCTGAGCTGAAATAAAAAAGACCAATGAGTGCTGCGGGGGGACTAATGATTAGCCAATCAGCACCACAGGTGGGAATAACCCCATTGTCAAGCTTTGTCAAGCAGTTTAGCAGAACCAATGAGACGTAAAAACATTGGCAACTGCTAAAGACAAGGTAGATGCTGCTTCCGAGGCCGAGCTTAGTCGACATGTGGTGGCTGTGTGTCAGAGGGTAGAGCAGGTTGTCCACTAATTGGACGATCTGTGGTTCAATCCCCGCTGCTCCAGTCTACATGTGAAAGTGTCCTTGGGCAAGATACTGAACCCCATAATGCTCCCAATGGCTGTTCCATTGGTATGTGTGAGTGTGTTAACGCTGTGTAGCAGGTGGCACCTTGCACAGTAACAAGGCCACCACTGTGTGAATGTGACTCATAGTGTAAAAAGCGCTTTGAGTGGTTGGAAGACTAGAAACGTACATTACAAGCGCAAGTCCATTTACCATTCTCAATATCCCCTTTGCTCCACTTTTAAAACCCTGGCAAACCGTTATGTTTGCATGGCTACACATCAGTGTGGACTGAAAATTAAGTTAGAGTCAGAAAGTTTTCACGTTGGGTATGACTGATTCGTATCATGCCTGCGTACGATTGCCCCCACTCTTCACTTCCTTGCCGTTCCCCAGAACAATTATGTCATCATCTATGTGACATTTTTGCTGCACTACAGTGTAGAAAAGG